ATCAGGGGAGAATTAAAAATTTTAAAAACCAAACAAAAATCAGAAAATTAAAAAAATCCAAAAATAGTGTTATTTCTGTTTTATTTCTTTTTCAGAAAATATGAAAAATCCAAAAATATTGTGTGCTAAGTTTTCTTTTAGTTTTGTTTTGTCTTGAAAGGTGAATTTAGGTGTAGATGAGACTCATGGAGTTTGAATCGAAAATTTCTGAGCCAATGCTTCATCCGTGAGCATCGAAGAATTCTCATTCGAAGGAGCAAGAAATGAAGATTATTCTTTCAACATTTAATCCTTCAACCCCAGAAGCAAGGTGAAGCTGACTTGAAGATTATGTGACAGATTGCATTGAAGCCTCCTCAATCAATTTGCTGCTATCTTGAACCTGCTGAAGTGATCCAGAAGATTGTTTCTCTCTGATATTCTCTCTGAAGATTCTCAAGCTAAAAGCACTATCTTTCAAGAATCAGTACAAGAAGCCTCCTCACCCAATGTGCGTTCAATGTCAAATTCTGAAGAAATGCCCAACTGCTCAAGATGAAGTCATTCATTAAAGATTCATCAAGTTCATCTTGAAGCTGTGAAAAATTTGAAGATTAATGCTGAAGCCAAAGCTCCCAATGAAGATTAACAACAAAAGCCAGCTACATTTTAGGGGGAGCTTGTTGGGTCAATTTAGAAAAGAAAGCTATAAACCAAGGGGGAGATTGTTGGGTCAAAATATTGGTTTATACTTTGCTTTTCTAGTTGATTGTATTTTTATGTAACTATTTTATGAGTTTACGGTCGGTTTACGGGCCAGGTGGGTGTTTACGGCCGTAAACCCTGTTTACGGCCCAATGGGTGTTTACGGCTGTAAACCCATTTACGGTCGTAAACCCATTTATGGCCCATATTCCCCAAGTATATATATATATATATATATTATATTATATCTAATATATATATATATATCATATATAGGTGTTAGGTGGTTGAGGAGGGATTGATGAACAGAGAAGGAGTGTACGGAATAGAGAGAAGACAGGAGTTTTAGTGTGTGTAAGTGTGTGAATCTTGTGTAAGGCAACTTCATTCTAATGAATACATTCAAGATTCATCATCTTCTTCTTCTCCTTCTCTTCTATTTGATCTGACATCATCCAATTGATTGGGATTCCGCACCATCAATTGGATCTGATTGATACACAAGCAGATTAAGGACTTACAAGAACCTTCCCGATGAATCTGCAAAGAGGCTTGGTGCTTACGGCGTAAAAATGTATCTCACGACTTGGATGTCTGTTCTCCATGATGTGGTGCCTAACTTTAGGAAACTATTTATATCAAATTTTAAGTCAAAATTGGGGTCATGCGACATAGGCTGCGATATCCAGGGACTAAGAACGATCAAGAACTTATGAGAAACCCTTGGAACGATGTAGAACATTTAGAGATTAAGTTTTGAAGTGATTTACGCAAAGAACACAATACATTCATTTGGTTTTCTAGTTTACATTATGTCTAATCTAGTTAACTTTGTTTTTACTTGTGTTTCTACTATAATTATAGGCTAATAACCCTTTACTTTCGTTTGGTGATGATGAACCCTAATACTTTGATTTGATTTTGTTATTTATGTATTTATTTATGTTGGTTTAACTTGTGTTTGATAGATCGATAATCCTAGCATGTTAACGTTCTAACCTTTATTGTTTCTCCTACAAGTTTTTTGTAGTTAGATGATCACTCTTATTAGATACACTCGATATCTAGTTGTTTATGAACATTGAATTGCTAGATCTAGTGATTGAATAAATCGTAGAGTTAGTGGTCAAATTTAGTAACATTGATTGTGTTAGAAAGCATTATTAATTCATAATATGTTCTTATATTACTTGCCTTGATTATAGATAGGTAATCCTTAGATTTATCATTCATAGTCCAATTATCCTTAAAATCAATCTAGTGTCCAACTTGTGCTAAACCATTGCATAGTAGCTAATAAATTGGTAATTACGAGGAATCGGAACATGATAAGTAGTAAATTAAAAATTTGGTAACCAACATATTTAATCCATTAGTAATCAACCATACGAAAAAAGGATTCAAAACTAAACGAAAGTACTCTTAAATCTTGAATCAAAATCGTTTTTCTATTTTCTTGCTTAGGTTTATAGTTCTAGTAGTCACTTGATTGCTATTTGCTTGATTTAAGTTACTGGTCTTGTAAAATCAATAACCCCCCCCCCCACCCTCCCGCACTTAAAGTTATTTCTTTTAGTTTAAAAATAGCATTTGTTTTATCTTTAAAATTTATGTTCCTTGTGTTCGACTTCTTACTTGCTTTACTATACTACTACGCGACTAGGTACACTGCCTAATTGTGTTTTAGCTGATAAATTTATATAGGATTATAAATTTAAAGCTTTTAATGAATTTAAAATACATCAAGTTTTTGGCATCGTTGCCGGGAAAGAACTTACTTTTCTACTGAAAATTATTTCCCTTAGTTGAACGATTCTTTTTGTGGGATAGGAACTCCCAAAAAGTTATTTTTTCGTTTTTTGTGAATACAGTAACCACGATGTGACCACTACCTTGCCATAATGTGGAAACTGTAGTTTTTCAGTTTTCAGTTTTATTACGTTTTGTCCATTTTATGTGTGTTTCCTTGTTTTGTTTCAGTAGTTCATGACCAAATGATCCTCCTTCAAGATTGTGCCAACTTTGAACGATCCGAAATCCAAATTTCACAAGAAAAGGAAGGGAAAAAAAGCTGGAATATTTTAATTTAGACAAAACTGACACCGAAGGAGAAGCAAGCGAACCAGAAATCAAGGGCTTTTCTTCTGATGTTATCTCTCCCTTCAAGAAACCGGATAAAAAGGAGAGTGGGTATGAACCAAAAATCGAATACAAGAGCGATATCGAAAGCGATATAGAAGACATAGCTAACATTACAACCATGAAAATTGTGTTAGCTATACCCACTGAAGTGGGCCAATTATCAAGGCTTTTACAAGATAGATTACCAGGAACATTGTCGAGAAATACCGAGACGAATCCAAAAGAAAATGTGTTAGCTATATCCACTAAATAATGAGAGAAGTTAGAGCCCTTAGTACTCTTAACAACAACCAAAGCAAGTCCTGATCAAAAAGTCGAAGGAGTAGGGAAGAAATAGAAAAACGAGTCTGCCCAACAACCACGGCGTGGTGACCAAGATGCCATGACGTGTCCATTGAACAGAAGTTTTAAAACTTTTTTTGTTAAGCCATACAAGTCGTCATTTCCATAACCATCTCGAGCCAAGAATACCTACTGGAGCAGGAGCATAAGATATTTTTGGAACAACTGAAGGGGCTCTCGATTAATATTCCATTCATTGAATCTATTGCTAAGATGCCCAAATATGCAAAATTATTGAAAGATCTTATTAGGAATCGTAAAGAGTTGGAGAAGACCTCTACAATAGTACTTAATGAGTAGTGTTTAGCGGCTCTTATGCAATACATTCCAACTAAGATGATGGATGTGGGGAGGTTGACTATTCATTACGAATTGGGCAAATCAACAAAGACGAATGCACTAGCTGATTAAAGAGCTAGCATTAACTTAATTCCATATTCATTTTACCAAAAGCTCAAAACCTACTTCCGGCGATTTCGGTCTTTCAAAATAGTGCAGTCGCCGGCGGGATCAAACGCCGGTGAATCCTAGATATCATCACCATGGGAGATAACTCTTGGTCGACACTCAGTTATCGCAATAGGAACGTCAACGTGGATGGCAATCGTAGGGATCATCAAAGCAGTCAAGAACCAAAAACTAATTACGTAAGGTCAGATATAATCTCCCTCTTTATCACTAATTTTCTGGATTCAGTTCAAGTCGAAGACATTCAGAGGGTATGTGGTCGAGCATGTAGTCTCTTGGGTAAGATTGTTGGAGTGTATATTGCTAAAAAACTATCAAAATTGGGGAAACGATTTGGCTTTATTAGGTTTTCAGGCGATGGTAATTGTGACTCCCTAATAAAACAGTTTCGTGAAGTATGGTTTGGATCATATAAATTGTTTGCCTCCCTCCCTCGTTCCCTTGGAAATAATAATCGTTCCCCCCAACCTGTTGGCCTCTCCTCAGCAGTCCATCATAACGAGAATGTAAAATCCTATGTGAATGTCGTCCGAGGCCATCCTAATAATACGAGAATCAACACTAATACGGAGGAGATCATCAATCTTCCTTCTGGAGACTACATAGTTGAAAAAAAGACAAAGGGCATGCCTTGTTAAGGCAAGAGATTTTTCCACTCTTCCCAATCTCTGGGTGCTATGTTTGGATGAGGGATTCGATAACTTTGAGATGAAATATGTTGGAGGTTTGTGGGTGCTAATCGAATTCAATTCTAATAATGCATGCAAAAAATTTATGAATAGTGAAGCTATGGATCATTGGCTTTTAGAAAAGAGAGCATGGGATCGAAATTTTATTCCATCAGAACGATTAGTATGGGTGGATGTTGAATGAGTCCCTCTTTCTACTTGGAGTAAAGAGTCATTTAGAAAAATCCTCTCTAAATGGGGAACAATAGCACAGTTAGATGATGACCTGGGAGAAGATATTTACAAGAATAGGATATGCATACTTACAACTATCCAATCTATCATTTCAGAAGTGATCAAAGTACGTGTTGGTGGGATTATACATTGGATTAGAGTCAAAGAAGCTCCGGGGTGGACCCCATCCTTTGTTCATGATTATCCTGCTCCTGACTTGGCCGAGAGTGAATTACAAGAATCGGAACAAAACGAAGAAAGGAATGATGAGGCTTCATTGGACCCCTTTGGTATTTATGATGCTATTGAAAAAATGAAAAAATATGAGGTCAGCAATGATATTAATAAAGGATTTAATTGTTGGGGTAATGGCAAAAAATACAATAATAACAGAGAGAGACCTCAAGGGCAAAATGGGAATTCAGTAATGGAAATTTTTTTTCCTCATGCTCCTGCTGATCGATGTGCTTCAAGTTTGTCTGCTGCTTCAAAGATTCAGTCATCTATAGCCCCCGGACCTGCTATTTGACCCCCCCAGCCACTGCACCAACTGTTCCGGCCTCTGATGTTGCTCTGAACGCTGCTACTGTAGAACCCGCGGCAGCTGAAGAACCTGCTGCAACAACTGACTCGCAAGCAGCTTTCTCTGCTTTATCCATTCTGATAGCTGCCTCCACTGTTCCTGCTTATTTTGTTAATCCTGGGTCTCTTCAAATTGAAAAAGAAAACTCAAACAAACAAGCTCCGGTTGGTTTCTCATGTGGTTTTATTCGCATGTCGGGCATCCCATCTATGGATGATTCTTTATCTCATCCACCTGGTTTTCAAATATCAATCAAAGAGAGAACGATGTTTTCTCAAAGGGTTCTTTCAACACTGACTCAATAGAGGTTGAATCCCGAAAAACAATTGTTGTAAGAGGGAGTATTGGTTTAAATTTGAATTGTTGTTCTGAGCATGTGAAATATTCTATTCAAGAGGAGCGATTTAATAAAATTTAGATATGAGTTGTTTATCTATTAATATCCAAGGAGCGGGATCTTTTGAGAAACGGGTGTGGATAAAATCTCTTTGTATCAAATATAAGATAAATTTTCTAGTTATTCAAGAAACGAAGAAGGAGCTAATAGACCTTTCTCTTGTTCGCTCGTTGTGGGGTAACCTCGCATTCTCTCATGCTTTTTCTCCTTCTCATGGCGCTTCTGGAGGTATTCTAGTTTTCTGGGACCCAAATATTTTTATTCATAATAAAGTATCCATCTCTGATTGGTATGTGGCGGTGGAGGGGGTTTGGGCTGTCTCTAGCATGGATGTACTGCTAATTTCTGTCTATGCTCCCCAAAAAGACGATTGTAAAAGATAATTGTGGGATGAAATCTCTATCTTGATTGCTTCTTTCTCTGGATAATGTGTGCTTATGGGGGACTTTAACGAAGTCAGAAGCGATTCTGAAAGGTTTGGTTCTCAGTTTCAACATGTTCCTACTAGATTTTTTAATCAATTTATTGATCGGGCCGATTTAGTTGATATTCCTATGGGTGGGCCCCGGTATACATGGAGCAACAAATGGGGATCCAAGTTTTTTGAACTGGATCGTTTTTTGGTCACTGAAGGTCTTTTGCAGTGCTTTCCTCACCTTATGGGTTTGGTTCTGGAGAAAAACATCCATGATCATCGACCTATTGTCTTATTAGAGCACCGGGTGGATTATGGTCCTTCTCCCTTCCGTATATTCCATTCTTGGTTTGAGCTTGAAGGTTTTGATGATGTGGTTCATAATTCCTGGAACTCCAATATTGTTGAGAATGAGATCAATAATCCTTGGGTTATTTTTAAGAAGAAGCTCCAACTTCTCAAATCTAACTTAAGATTATGGAATTCTAGTGCTCGAGATCGTCTGATTAGCAAAAGGAAACTTCTTCAATACAAAGTTGAAGAGATTGATGCCTCTCTTATGATTGATGGAGGTAGCGCTGTTCTTCATGAACAAAGAGTTTCGGCTATTAAAGAACTGACGGACTTAGATCATCTTTCTAGAATTGACCTGGCACAGAAAGTGAAAATTAAGTAGGCAATTGAAGGGGATGAGAATTCTAGTTTTTTTCATGGTACTATCAATCGAAAGAGACGTCAGAGTGCTATAACGAGTATCATGATCGATGGTGTCTGGGAGGATAACCCTGGGAAGGTTAAGAAGGAGTTCCAAAGTTATTATAAAAATCTTTTCTTGAAGAAAAAAGGAATACGTCCTACTACTGATCCTACTCTGTTTCATACCCTCATGGATGATCAAGTTCTCCTCCTTCAAGCTCCTTTTTCTCGTGATGAGATTAAAAGGGCTGTTTGGGATTGTGGCTCTGATCGGGCTTCTGGCCCGGATGGTTTTTCTTTTTGTTTCTTGAAAAGATACTGGAATCTTATTTCTGATGATTTGGAGGCTTTCATTCAACATTTTCACAGTCATTGCTCGATCCCAAAAGGTTGTAACGCTTCTTTCTTTACGGTTATCCCTAAAGTTCGTGACCCTAGTCATGTTAGAGACTTTAGACCTATTAGTCTAATAGGGTGCCAATATAAAATTATTTGTAAATTATTAGCTAATAGGTTGGCGGAGGTTATTAGTTCTATCATTAGTCTGGAGCAGTCTGCTTTTGTCAGAGGTAGACAAATCTTGGATGGCACATTTCTTCTTAATGAGGTGGTGGCTTGGAGTAAGTCCTCGAATAATCCTCTTATGATTTTCAAAGTGGATTTTGAGAAGGATTTCGATTCCGTTTCGTGGGAGTATCTTTTGGAGATTATGCAGATTATGGGCTTTGGCAAACTATGGTGTGATTGGATTGTGGAGCTTCTTAGATCTACTAGGGCTTCGGTTCTTGTTAATGGGTCACCTACTGATGAATTTCAAATTCAACGTGGCCTGCGATAAGGCGATCCATTGTCACCTTTTTTATTCATCCTGGTTATGGAAGGGCTTCATGTCGTTCTACGGAAAGCTCATAATGCAAATGTTTTTCAAGGCATTTCTATTAGTCGGATTGAAATCTCCCATCTGTTCTATGCTGATGATGTTGTTTTGCTATCGAAATGGGACCCAACGAATGTTACCCGAATCATTCGTATCCTGCAGTGCTTTTATTTAGCTGCGGGGCTAAAAATCAACTTACTCAAAAGTAAATTGATTGGAGTGGGAGTTCCTTTGGCTCAGGTTGAGGTGGCGGCTCGTAAAGTTGGGTGTGCTCCTGATTCTTGTCCTTTTATTCATCTTGGAGTCCCTGTTGGCCAGAACATGTCTCGGATTAGTGATTGGTCTTCAGTTGTTTATCGTTGTCAGTCAAAGCTCTTGGGTTGGAAAGCGAATTGTCTTTCTTCTGGAGGTCGCCTAACTTTGATCAAATCGGTTCTTGGAAGTCTTGGAAGCTAGTTGATGTCTATTTTCATGGTTCCGATCTCCGTTGTTAACACCTTGGAGTCTCTTCGAGCTAGGTTATTTTGGGGTGCTGGTATAAGTGAGAGACGCATGCATTGGGTTCGCTGGGACAGGGTCTTAGCCCAAAAAAAGAATGGGGGTCTTGGTGTTGGTAGTTTGTATTCCTTTAATCGGCCCCTACTCTATAAATGGCGATGGAGATTCTTTCATAATCCGGAGTTGTAAAGGCTATTTATGGTTCGGATGGTGGTTGTAGCTCTTTCTCTCATAGAAGAGGTTCAATTGGTCCTTGGAATGGTGTTATTCGGATGCTTGTGCAGCTTCATAATCATGATCTTGATCTCAGTCCTTTTAGTCCTATTAGAGTTGGTGATGGGAATAGAACTTCATTCTGGCACGATGTATGGAAGGGGGATACCCAATTGGTTGCTTCTTTTCATAGGATTTATGCTCTAGATCTTCATAAATCTACATCAGTTCGTGATAGGGTGCTTCTCGGTTGGAACTTTGATTGTCTCAGGCGTTCTCCTAGAGGGATATTGAGGAGACTCAATGGACTACTTTCACTTCCTTAATGCAGGGAGTTCTTCTTCCTTCCACGCTTGATTGTTTGGGATGGACTATCGATGTCTCGGATTCTTTTACGGTTTCTTCTCTCCGAGCTTTTTTAGATAGTCATATGTTACATTCAGGGGGTCCTGAAACTCGTTGGAATAATTGGGTGCCTATCAAGGTGAATATTTTTATTTGGAGATTGCAGTCTAGAAGTCTTCCGACTAGAGAAAATCTTTCGCTCCGTAGGATTACTATGGATTCCATTCTTTGCCCCGTCTGCTCCAATACTGTTGAATCTATTGATCACCTTTTTCTCCAGTGCAATCAGTTGATCGACTTATGGACCCGGTTAGCTGTTTGGTGGGATGTTCAGCTTCTTCAGCTTTCCTCTATTGATTATCTCCTCTCGTGGTCCGATTCTCTTTCCCTTAAAAGAGGGCAACGACAAGCCTTTGACACTGTTATCATCACTACCTTATGGTGCCTGTGGAATTTTCGTAACTCCACCATTTTTGGATCGGCTCAACCCAGGAAGTCTCTCATTTTAGACGATGTGATTGATAGATCTTTTTTTTGGATTTCCAGTAGGTATAGAAAAGCTAAAACTAGTTGGACCTCTTGGCTTCATAATCCCCTCTTAGCTTGTAATTTGTTGTGATGTCTTTTTTTCCTCTAGCTTCTTGCTAGTTTTTTAATAAAATCTCTGCCGTTCCAAATTTTTTTTTACCAAAAGCTCAATCCACCGGAGTTGAAGTCTACAAGAATGGCCATCCACATGGAAAATAAATCCATCACATACCCTCGTTGAATAATGGAAGACTTATTGGTGAAAGTTGGGAAGTTTGTGCTTCCAGTCGATTTGGTAGTTTTGGATATGAAGGGGGATGAAGAAGTGCTCATTATTCTAGGAAGACATTTCCTAAGCACCACTAGAGCACTTTTTGATATCTGCAACTCCAAACTTACATTACGAGTGGGGGATGAAGAAATTACCTTTGGGGTAGATCCTAACTCCAAACCTTCAAGAGGAAGTGGTGATGAAGAATTCGATGTGGACGGAATGGACGAAGAAATGCATGAAGATGATGACAAGGTGATAAACGAAGAAGAGGGAGATAATAAGTTGTTGGATTAGATGTCTAAGCCCATAACTATTATTGGTATGTACTTGACCCGAGAGTAGCATGGTCCATTTGGGTTGCATATCATCAGGACAGTTTGTTAGAATAGACTCTTGAGAGAAGGTTATATATGATTTATTAATATATTATAAGTTCTAATATATTAATCTGAAATCATATGTTTTAATTAGTATTGATCAAGAATTAATTTGGAATTAATTTAGTGATCAAAAGAGACTAGTTAAATCTATGGGGACTAATTATGGTAATTAGTTATATTTATATGTGTTGGGCTTATGATCCATGTTAGACCAAGTTTATGTATGGATACATAAAGAGTTGGGCCACATGAACCATGGATCATAAACCCATGGGTATGGGTTTGGGTTAACCCATGACCTTTGGAATTCCACATATAAATTTGTTGCTTCATAGCCAAAATCACTACCAATGTACTCTTAGAGGATATGGACGGTTTTGGTGTGTATGAATTCTCTCTCAAGTTTCATCCTTTGTCCATGATGTGTTGTGACTTCATTTGAGGCTTCCACACTATTGGGGCTAAGCTCTTAAGGCCAAATACATCAAGACTTCAAGCTACATAAAAGGTATGTAACTCTAACTAGTATCTTGTATGGTTTATGTCAAATGCATGCTAGTTATAGGTTTAATGCCTTGGAAACCATTTTCATGTATAATTAGTGAAAACATAGATCCAAGGTATTTAGGGTTGTATGTGCACCATAGGATGTTGTAGTATACTAAAACCCAACAGTGGTATC